AGTCAGAGTTAACATTCCAAAAGTCAAAGGATGATGTAAGTAATGTTCAAGTATACACATTTAGAGTTTGAAGTAATTTCCTATCACTTTTTCCTACCCCCCACCCAAATCAAGATAACCTACTTTCAAACAACTACTTGAAAGAGAGAGGTCAAACTGTGGTAAGAAAAAAGAAAGACACGTGATATTCCAAACTGTGGTATCTATCTATATTTCAAGTATAAATAAAAAACATGAACATATAGAGGCGCCTGGCTGGCTCAGTCAGAACAGCGTGTTACTCATGATCTCAGGGTTGTGAGTTCAAGCCCTATGTTGGGTCTACACCCAACATAATGGAAATAAATTTTTTAAAAAGTGAACATACAAGTAAAATTAATGTGAAATCCATTTGCTATGACTAGTATTATACATTCTAAGTTAATTAACCCTGACACCAATCAATTCCTTGGAACTCACTTTTACAGAATTATGGAGGACTTAAAATTCGATTTCTATCAACTTTAGAAGTAAGCTACATTTTTTTTCCTCCTGTTATCTCCAAGGAAATAAAATTATTCAAGTGTATTCGTGATTAGGTGGTATCTTTCATTTCTTTATTTTCTCAATTTTTAGGAGATTGCAAACTGATAGATTATTTAACATGCTTTCAAAGCAAGAGAGAATGGCTCAGCTTCTTCACAGTGTTAAGTAACAAAATTCAACAGAGTAAATTTTAAAGATAAAATCGGCTTTATTAATTCGTTTCAAGTATAAATAAAAAACATGAACACACAGATACATGCTCACAGATGTGAGCTCCGAAAGGCTACAGAAAGGGAAAGGTTTTTATTTTTTTTATTTTTTAAAGATTTATTTATTTGAGAGAGCAAGAATGAGAGAGAGAGAGAGTACATGAGAGGGGGGAGGGTCAGAGGGAGAAGCAGGCTCCTCGCCGAGCAGGGAGCCCAATGCGGGACTCCGGGATCATGACCTGAGCCGAAGGCAGTCGCTTAACCAACTGAGCCACCCAGGCGCCCAGAAAGGAAAAGGTTTTTTAAAGATAGGACAATGAAGTCAATTTTCAAACGTTGACAATTATTTTTCTGGGAACGTTGTGTGTGGTCTGTGAGCTGCATTTGGCTTCCAGTCCAATCGTCTGCAAGCTGATAACCGCACACAAGAACTTCATACAGGGAGCAAACCCATTGACCACAATAACTTATAATAAGAAATATAATTGTTCAAATGGATTCTCATGCTGGCTGATCTGAGCACTGTATCTGAGAGACTAAGCAAATAGGAAAAGGTTGCTTGGTGACTTAAGAATCAAAGTAAACAGAGTTGTAGGAACCTTGATGATAATACCAAGTGATAACCTGATATTTAGCAAATAGTGTATTGAGCGCCTTGCATGTGCCAAGCACTGTTTTAGGCATCAGAAATACAGCTGAATACAAATACGAGGGACCTGTCTAGATGTAGGAGGTAGTAAATAAAAAAGTAAATGAGAAAACTAGCACTTGATAGCTACCACCCAGAAAAGTAAAAGAGGGTAATGTGATAGCGGGTGCCTGATAGGCTGCCCCATACTAGCTGGTGAACCTAAATACTTACCCTGGAGGTTATCAGAGTGTCAAATTCCTCTTCTTCACTCTTTGCATTCTAGTTTCCTCTAAGAAGTCATTTGTGATATGTCTTAATGAATTGAAGGCCAGTTTAATTTAAATTAGTTACTTTTTGATCTTGACTACATTTGGGGCAGGGAACATGTTGATCTGAGAGGGATTTAGTCAAACCTCTAATCTAATCAGGAACTTAATTACAAGGTAAGTCAGGGCTGGGTCAGCACTGCAGATGGCTAATTGCAAACATTTTATGTTGGTTCCTTTTAGCTTGCATCTTAGAGGGTGCCATTTTCTAGTGTGCCTCTTAATTCTGGGACTGTACCATTTGAGGATTTTTTAAAAAGATTTTATTTATTTATGTATTTGAGAGAGAGGGCACGCACAAGCCTGGGGGAGGGGCAGAGGGAGAGGGAGAAGCAGACTCCCCATTGAGCAGGGATACCATGTAGGGCTCCATTCCAGGACCCCGAGATCATGACCTGAACCAAGCAGAAGGCAGATGCTTAACCGACTGAACTTAACTGCCCCCCATTTGAGGATTTTTATCACCTTTTTGGGACAAGGACTAATAGCAGCTTGGCAATGAAATTTCACCCCAGGGTTAGGGTTTCTCCCACCTAAAAATGCATATTAACAGATACCTCTTAAAACCCTTCCTGGGGTGCTTGGCTGGCTCAGTTGGTGGAGTGTGCGACTATTGATCTCGGGGTTGTGAGTTTGAGCCCCACATTGGGTGTAGAGATTACTTAAAAATAAAATTTTTCAAAAAAAATTAAAAAAAAAAACCCAAACTCTTCCTATGGTATTATAATCTGTCTCTGCATGTTAAAATAGAGACACCCTGGAATGTCCAGTCAGAAGGTCTGGGTTCAAAGCCCATTTTCTGGCTCTGCTGTGGGCCGACTCTTTGATCTAGTAGACATTTCACCTTTAGAGCCTTGTCTGGGAGACCCACCTCTTGGGGGTTTCATGAGGACTGAATGACAGTGTGTATTTGAAAACTAACCCTGCAGAGTTCAATATTATTTATTATTATGATTGGAATAACCATCAAGGTCACTAGCAATGCCTATTTTGTGATGATTTCTAAGAAAAGAAATGGGTCCTTGTGCCTTTGGGGTGCAGAGGTAGGGCCCAACACAAAATAGAACTCTACTGGAAACATCAGCTGCTAAAGAGGAAATAAATAACTGTAAAGTTATATTTAAATTCAGAAATAAAATAGAAATTTTATAGAATAGTAATTGTGGTGGTAATAAGATACAGCTAACATTTATTAAGTACTTTCTCTGTTCTGGGCATGGTAAACACTTTGTATTTATTATCTCTTCTAAGGGAGAGAGGGGAAAAAAGAAAAAAAAATCAAGGTAATAAATAATATGAACTTGGAAAATAAATCATTACTATACAGTGTGTCCTATCACCCCCCAAAAGCTCTTTAAATATGTGCGGGTTTGGAGACCCATTTCTCAGAAGTTTGGTATCTTCTTGCAGCCCCATGGGCCCCTTTGGCCCACAATTATCTAATCTCCCCTTCTCAGCTACTCAGAAAAGTTCATGACCTCCTCCCATCCCCAAGGCCCAGCTCACTAACAGACTTCAGAAATAATTTTCGCGGATGTGCCAGTATTTTAGTAGTAAGCACCTGATGCCCTCAACAAAAAAGAACTGCAGGTTAAAAATGTAAGCGAATAATTGAAATGCAAAAGAATACATTCGGTATGCGTAGCTGAGAGTGTATTTCTTTGTAAAGCAAAAGCATGTCTTTCACGTTTTCCCCCCCAAATCATATTGGAAATGGATCGCTCTAAGACTTCCATTAATAAACTTCTCAGAATGTGAAATGTCTCCAACATGTGGGGACGCCGGGGTGAAAGGTGCCACGCTATTCTCATTTCTGCCAGGCCCGGGTGCAGGAGGAAATATGCTAATGCAGCCGTTTGCCGCAGGGCTGGTGTTATTTATATAGTGCTGGCTGGGCAAGGTTCGAGTTGGAGCTCGGGAGAGGTGGGAGAGGTTTGTCTTCATGTGTGTGGATATAGATGTGTGCGCCTGTGCACTTGGCGTTCGAAACGTGAATTCAAGATCTTGGGGAGGGGGTGGGGAATACCATCACCATTCACGTTTATGTGTATACAGTGTAACTCGTGCGGGCGATGTATCCTTCCAGCATTGTACTTACACAACATGCATTTTGGAGTGGGGAAGACATGGCGATTTGGGAGTTAGGTGCCGCGATCGGTTGCCGGTGACCCGACACTGCGGGTGATCAGCGACCTGCAATTGGCCAATGCGCATTCTTGACACTTCTCCGCGGACACAAAAATCAACCATTATCTGAACCCCTAAAAAAGTGCGAGGGGTTTGCTCCCGAATGCTAACGACTTTGGGCTCAGGACCGGGAGTGGGGTGTGGACAGCGGGTAGTGGGCGCCTCTGAAGCGAGCAGAGGTCACCGAGAGCCGGCACACGGGGGTGGGTGGAAACCCCTCGCGGCTTCGGGAGCCGAGCCTCGAAGACAACCCCCCTTACACGCTCGGCGCTCAAGCCGACTCCTCCGGGACCCCCAACCCACCCGCGCCCGCCGCTCCGCGCGCCGGCTCCTCCCCCGCCTCGCCCGGCGCGGAAGGGGAACAACAGGGGATCCTCCAGCCAGGCAGGCGCGGGGTGTCCCGTTTCCCCACCCCCTCCCGTGGATCCCGCGGCAGCGGCGGCGGCGGCGGCGCGTCCCGGCTGGAGGGGGCGCTCGCGCGCAGGAGCAGGGCGCAGCAGGTGCCGCGGTTACCTCCACCTCGGAGGGGGGAGAGGGGGCGGGCCGGGGGCCAGGGGAGGAGGAGGAGAAGGAGGGAGGCCGGCTCGCGGAGCCGGAGAGCGCGGCCGGCTCGGCAGCCAGGGACCCGAGCTCGCGGCTTCCGGGAGGCGCCCGAGGCCGGATAAATACATCCCGGGCTCCGGGGGAGAAGCGGACGCTGCCCGCACCGCCGCCCGCGCCGCCCGCACAGCTGTCCGCAGGGCACCGAGCCGCCCGACTTAGGCGCGGCGCCCGCTCCTCCTCCTGCGGCCGGCGCGGAGCAGCGGAGAGCGGCGGCGTCGGCCGCCGGCGCCCGGGCCGCGGAGCCGATGAGCGGCAGCGGCTGAGGGCCCGGGCCGGCCTCTGCCCGCTCTCTGCCCGGCGCCCGAGCGGGGCCGCAGCGCCCGGGGCGCAGGGTCGGGGCCGGTGACATGGGGGCGGACTGAAGCAGCCGGGGCGGCCGAGCGCTCTCTCTCGAGCCGCGGGCCCTCCTCCGCGGCGGCGGCGGCTGCGGGCGCCCGGCCCGGCGCGCTCTGCCCGGGGCGCCCGCGGGAGCCTCCGCCGCGCTTCTATGCGCCTCTGCGGGCGCCGTGGGCCCCGGCCATGGCGATAGACCGGCGGCGCGAGGCGGCGGGTAGCGGGCCCGGGCGGCAGCCGCCCCCGGCCGAGGAGAACGGCTCCCTGCCGCCCGGGGACGCGGCGGCCTCGGCGCCCCTCGGGGGACGCGCGGGCCCCGGCGGCGGTGGCGGGGAGATCCAGCCGCTGCCCGCCCCGCATCCCGCCGCTGCCGGCCCGCACCCGGGCTGCAGCTCGGCGGCGGCGGCCCCGAGCCTCCTGTTGCTGGACTACGATGGGTCGGTGCTGCCCTTCCTCGGGGGCCTGGGCGGGGGCTACCAGAAGACCCTCGTGCTGCTCACCTGGATCCCGGCGCTGTTCATCGGCTTTAGCCAGTTCTCGGACTCTTTCCTCTTGGACCAGCCGAACTTCTGGTGCCGCGGGGCGGGCAAAGGCGCGGAGCTGGCGGGGGTCACCGCCACCGGCCGGTGGGACGCCGGCGACGTGGCCAACTGGACCAGCCCCCCGACCACCCCCTTCTCCACTGCCTCCTGGGGGGCCGCGGGCAACGTTAGCAACGGCAGCGGCGCGGACGGGGGTGACACGCCACCCCTGCCGTCCCCTCCGGACAAGGGGGACAACGCCTCCAGCTGCGACTGCCACGCGTGGGACTACGGCATCCGCACAGGCCTCGTCCAAAACGTGGTCAGCAAGGTAAGGGCTGCGCCCGCCCCGGCCCCGCGTCCTTCTCCTAAGCCTTTCACTCCTGGATCTCCTCCACCCTTCCCTCGGAGGTCCCTTAAAGCGATGCTAGCCTGTGTGTACATGCATCTGGCATTGGCTTAATCCTCCGTCCCCCAAACGAGATGCATTTGTCTGGGTGTGAGGCGGGGGCTTTTCCCGGCCTTCCTCGGGGCAGCTGCCTCCCAACCCTAAGGGAGCTCCATGGCCTTTCCTAGTTTGCACCCAAACTCCTGCCCGAGTGCACATTTGGAAAGAGAGCCCCTCCCCCGAAAATGACTTCAGCTCCCTTCCCCTACCCTTCCAGCTGTTACCCTCATTCAGGCAGGGGTGGCCCTGGAGAAAGGTGAGGCCACTGACCTATCAGCCAGCCAGCTCTGGAAGACTCGCCTCATTCAGGGTCTGATGCCCGGAGCCAGGACCTCGGTTCTAGTCTTCTGCCAGGCTAGTGGTCTCCCACAAAGAAATATCTATCCATGGGACGATTGTCATATTCCCAGATGTTCTTCTTTCTGGCAGACCACAGTCATCCCGTGCTGGGTTTGTAAACAGCTAAAGCCAACTAAAGAACTCAAGTTAAGAGCCACAGAAGCAAAGAGCTTTTGCAAATTCCCTTTTCCTTCTCATCATGCTCATTCCTCTCCAAAGATTTGCTATCTTTGACTTTAGATTTTGCCACTCCAGTGTTCCCTCAAGGGACTTCAGGAATATCTCTAGAGTATAGGAAGGAAACTAAGAATTTGTTTTGTATCCCCCGACCACCCCCGTTCCCACATAGCAGCTGCTTTTGTCTGAAGCGTCGAGACCCTGGGAGGCTTTAGCTGAGCAACCGCCTTGCTCAGAGTCCAGAAGGAGCCCCTCTGGCAGAGGTACTGCATTGTGTGAAATGAGCAGCAGTGGTTTTTGAGAGGAGCTGTGTGGCGGGCAGAAAAATCAATCCCGAAGACCTCTGTATTTTCTGATTTTTCTTAACATACAAGAGACATTTATTAAGCAGTTTGGGTTTTTTGTCCCTTCTGTGTTTTAAATAACTAATTTGCATTTCAAAGTAAGTGTAGACCTCCCCTCCCCTTCTGGGCAGTTCTGAGTTTTAAATGCTTTGTTTAAACGTGAGACTGAAGTGTGACAGTGTGCATGTGCTTTTCCCCCCCAAATGAGTGTTAGTAAACAGTTGTAGCTCATGGATGTGTAAGATGAAACTCTTACATCATCATAATCATTGTTTTAATCTTGTACCAACCTGGCAAGAAGTGATCTGTCCTGTGGGAACTGACAGGATTAGCTATTAATGGGGAAGATCCTTCAGGCTTGGTTCACCTTGACACCCCCCAGCCCCAGCGCCCCTCCTTTCCACATGTGTTCCTGTGACTCTGTTTCCCATCCATGCTGGGCAACATTTGTTTTTGTTTTTGTTTTTGTTTTTTTGTTACCGGCATGGAAAAATTTTTTTACAATGACTACAGTGACTCTTTTAACACCCTTTGTATGTCTGTGCAAGTAAGGATTTGGCGACATTTTCAAATACTTTAAACCCCTTTTTAAAGTAGAGGAGGAATAATAGAGATCAAAGCAAACGTGTTTAGAGGGTGCTCTGTCCTGGGGTCAGAGGCGAGGGGAACTTGAAAGTTAGGAGGTGGGCTAGAGCACCATTATCCTGGTGGTGGGGGCCCAGGGACTGCCAGATGGCGGGGCTGAGTAGACTAAAATAGTCCTTGAAAACAGGCTTTAAAGGCACAGTGGAGAGCTGGCCAATTTTTCTAAATTCGCACTAAGGAGGGTCAAAGATGGCAGTAATGTGTGCCCTATGGTTTGGGGCTGCTTCAGAGCTCTGTCATGCTTACCTGTAGCTGACAGGGCAAGACTGGGAGCTGAAGACCTCAGGACAATAGTTAGAGACGTATTTTCTTGTGAGATAAAGACTAGAAAGGACGTACTGATTTTCTCGCACAAGTAAGATCTAAATAAAGGACTGTCCTTCTACAGTGTTCGATTCCATAACAAAAGCCTTAAAGAGCTCTTTAAGCACATTTGGCATATACTAAGGCCGCCTTTCAGCTTCAGCTGGATGTGCCCACAGATGCACAAATATGGACCGTATACTGTGATGGGTGCACAATTCTAGAGGTCAGGTGCCTGTCAGCTTGGTTTGTAAGAGCAGAAGTGCAAAGTGTCACCTTCCGTCAGTGGATGAAAGTTCAGGGTCTGAGAAGTTGCCTTTTGTACCCTCTTTCCCCACTCCGTACCATTATCTAGCCACTTGAAAATAATCTCCCACAATGTCTCTGTCATTCGATTTCCCTCAGCCTGTATGTGCCCGTCCAGTAAGTGTCCTATTCTATCCCTAAGTGTTGGGGCGGGGGGAGGGGATACAGAAAAACTGCCAGGCATATATTATGTTTTATTGTGTTATATTATACATATGCATTTTATTACGGATATATATTGTATTACAAATATAAATATACATCATTAATGTATGTCATATGCAGTGCACAGCCTATCACATATAGGCTGTAATAGCACCAATTGCCAAGCCAGTTAGAATCCCAGGTTATTGTAGTTAAAAGGGATCTTCAGGCTGACAAGACTCTCTCCTCTCCTGATCAACATCCCTGACATGGGTACCCCTTCCAGGATGGGAAGGGAGGGCCCCATTGGCTAGGCAGCTCACTCCATGCAGACAAGCATGTTTTGGGGTGACTATATCTCAGGCCATCTCATGCCTATTTGCATGGCTTGCTCCTCTGAAGGATTCTTTTTCCTTTATATAATAGGTGTTCAGATATCGGAGAATACCCAAGTTTCTTTCCTGGCTAAAAAATCTCCGGCTACTTCCGCCATTCCACACATGACAGAATTTGCCATGCTGATTGCTCCCCTTGGCATGAGTGTCTCTTAAACACTCAGAACACAGCCTGGCAGGCCCTGTGTTCCCTAACTAAAAGGGAGCATGGATGGACACTGTGCTTTCACTAACAAAGCCTGCAGTTGATGCATGAAGGCTTTCAGTAAACACGACAAGCTTCTATCTCGAGACCACGGTCACCAAATCTTTGTGGGATTGCATTGTCAAGGATTTCTCAGGCTACGCTTCTGTGACATGGCACACAATTTAGGTTTTTTCGTAATAGTTTTGGGTCATTAGACATTAGATGTCTTCTGTTAGTATCTGCTTATTTCTGTTTTGTGCCTTGGTCTTTGTTATTTGTTCCAAAATTTTCAATGCCTTCGAATTAATAATGATGCACCTTTCTTTTGTGCAACCCTATAAAGTTTTCCAAACATTTCCTTTTATTATGTTACTTCCTTTTGTGAATGTTGAATAATCCAAGGCCAGTCTTAACACTGAGCATTATCTTGGATATTCAGTTAACACATACCGAGAGTGGGCCAGGAGCTGTGTACCTTGAACCCTGTGTTCAACTTCCCAGGGACATTCATAGCTCTGCATTTTATCTCCCAGCCATGCCTTTCCGAAACAAATCTAACAAAGTTCTGAGTCACTTAGAGGTCAGCTCTGGGGGAACTGAGGCCGGACATGGCTCCCTGTCCCACACCAGCATCCCCAGGCAGCTCAAATTGTCAAAGATTTTACACAACGTTAAAAAAACACAATACGGCTGACTTTAAAATATTTCTCTTAATAATTTGCATCATTATCCTGCGTTGTTCTGAGTGAATCCTCCTTGGTTCCCAGTGCTCACCACTTCCTTGAATAGCCCTTGGAATGTTGCCAAAAATCAATGTCAGCTGCTAAACTTTCTAAGCTCCATTCTTTTTCTTTATATAAAGTTTGGGATGTTTGTCCCCAGTCTTCTTATACTTCTTCTGTTCTCCATGAATTCTCAAAGATTTCTGGCTTTTATCCTGTAAGTACATCTGAGAGTTGTTTAAATATCCTGGGAAGTAATTTTGTATTCTTTTTCTGGGGCTCAAGTCTAGAAGTATTTAAAGTGATTCAGTACAATTTAATTAGGATTAAAAATAATTATAATTTCATTGCAATAGTAATATTTTAAAAATAACCCAGTGTCAGGTCATCCCAGTGGTGGTTGATTTATTTTGTCTAGTGTATGCAACACAGCAGTGAACATCTTTATGCAGCTGTCTTTTTAGAGATTGGCCAATAGATAATGCATGCACACGTACAGAAAGCAGACAGTAATAGTAACATTGCCTTCCATCTCTGCCTCCGGTTTCCCTCTTCAGAAGCAACCATGGTTACCAGTTTCTTATGTATCCTTCTAGAAATAGTCTAAGTATATTTTCATTTATATATTTGTCTCTCACAAACAATGACATAATACATACATTGTTCTATGCCTGTTTCTACCACTGTCAGGGATAGATGCCTATCACCAGTGAGAGAGCCCCTCATTTTGCTTCTGTAATACTATGTCTGCATAGTATTCCATTGTATGGGCAAGCCATAATTTATTTAAGTAGTCACCTACCAAGGGGGTGCTACGGTTGTTTCCAGTCTTTGCTGTTATATAATATGTAATGAAATTCTGGCATGCATGAAATTCTTAAAAGTGGAGGGTCAAAGTAGGCTACATTTTTATTTTAATAGATGTTGTTAAGTGCTCTCTCTAGAGATCTTACCAATTTCCACTTCCATCCGTCAAGCTGGAGGTCCTGTTCCCTATACCCCTCCCTCACCAAGGACTTAACCACACTTTGAAAGGTCTCCTCATTGGATCTGTGCGGTGTATTTGGTGGTTGTTGTAATTTGCATTCCTCTTGTTAGGACGGAGGTTAAACATGTCTCTGAAATTTTTTGAGCCATTTGTTTCCTTTTCTTTGAACTGCCCTCCTGAGGTTCTTTGCCTATGTGTGTGTTTTGGGGGAGGAGTATACAAAAGTTACCATGGAAGTGCTCCAAGCAGAAGGTAAATTAACTCTCTGGATGTCTTGTAAATGTTTCTCCCCTGGCTCTTTGTTTGACTTTTTTTTTTTTTTTTTTTTATGGT